TTTTCTAACCACTGTGCCAGGACTCCTCAATAGGAATGATACCAAATAACAAGAGCAACAACAAAAAACCTGACTGCCATTGAGTAGATTCTGACTTAGCAGCCCTTTAGGACAGAATAGATCTGTCCCCAAAGGTTTCTGAATGAGATCAGACAGCCTCATCTTTCTCCCACAGAGCAGATGGTGGGATCAAGCTGTTGACTTTGTGGTAGCCGTCCAACATGTAATCCATTATGCCACCAGGGCTCCCAATAGGAATGTAAAGGATCCAAATTTTCTAATATTTAAAAGGTTCGATAAACATAAAGATCCCACAATTCAATAACAAAAAGAATAAAGCTTGAGATCTTGGGCAAGTAGTATAGCCCTTCTAGCAATAATCCCTTTTATAAGGTATTGTAAATTCTAACCCCTGTATCTGTGGATATAATCCCATTTTAGAAGTAGTTCTCTGTTAAGCTAGTGGACAGGATTAAGGTGGGTTGTATTCTGGGTCTCCAGTTTACTAGAGGGAGTGGACCCCCCTTTGTTTCCTTGGGAATATGGTTTACTGAAAGACAGAAACCACACCTCTGTAAAAGCCAGAATTTCTTTGTGTATAAGAACCTTTTTTGGAAGCAGAGAGAGAATTCTCAGAACCATCTGGTAGGAAGAAGACCTACCAGTGGAGGATGTTTGAGATCTCTAAAGTGGGAGACATAAAATAGAGGAAACCATACTAGAGTTCTATTATCAGTAGAGAGCATATCCAGGTCCAATCTATACAACTCAACATGATATAAAGAACGGTTTTCTTCAGTGAGCTTACTAAGCATTTCCTCTATGTAGGTGGAACTCCAAGAAGGCATGGGATAACTCCATCTAAGTAGACATTTCAGTTATAATTTTACAATGCAAAATGTCATTATGTGGATTTTTACTTGTATTTAAATCTTATTATTAATATATATATATTTATTTAATTATTTTATTGGGGGCTCATACAATTCTTATCACAGTCCATACATACATCCATTGTGTCAAGCACATATGTACATTTGTTGCCCTCACAAAACTTTGTACTCTTATAAAGTATTACAGTCTCAGAGACCCAGAAGGGCAAAATCTGATAGTGTCTCTCTGAGTCAGAATCGACTAGATGGTGGAGAGTATTTTCCATTATTTGTATCAATTCTCTGATGGAGAGAGAAAAGTGCAAAACAGTTCAAGAACATGGGTTATGGATACAAGTTAGCAGAAGTCATACCATACCTCTTCTGTTCTTTAAAAAATTTCTTAACCTCTATGGGACTCAACTTCTTCATCTATAAAATGGGCATAAAATAAGAGCTACCTCCTAGGGCAAGGCAAATGAAATTAATTCACCATATACAGTGCCTGGAATAAAGAAATAGCTTAATTATTGTTAATTATTATTTATATAAAATAAAATAGATGCAGACACACATTTATATATACTATACACTCAGCTCCTGCCATCAAATTGATTCTGACTCACACCAAACCTATAGAGCTGCCCCTTTGTGTTTATGAGACTTTAAATCTTTATGGGACCAGACAGTCTCTTCCTTCTCTGTTGAGTGACAGTTGGGTTGGAACTGCTGACTTTGTGGTTAGCAGTTAAATATGTAGCCCGCTATATCATCAGGGTTCCTTATACTATGCATATATGCATGTGTATCATTTTATTATGCCCGTATACGCTCACATGTTTATAATTACATAATTGACTTATAGGAAGTACTCAGGCAGAGACTTGCTACTTGATTTAATTACCATTATCCTGTTTCATATTTTTCAGATACCCCAGATGTCAATATATATTATACCCTGGATGGCAGCAAACCAAAATTTCTAAAGAGAATTGGTTATGGTGAAAATAATACATTTCGGTACACAAAACCTATTACTCTGCCTGATGGAAAAATACAAGTTAAAGCTATGGCAGTCTCTAAGTAAGTTAAGAACATAATGATTAAGCAGCCTTTTAGCATAATATAACACGTTGTTGGTTGTTTTTATTTCTGGTGAATATCAGTGCTGGATTAATAGAATATTAAATGAAAGTTACTTTAATTTCACCATACATGTAACTTCTGTGTTTTATCTTTTCTTTATGTACCATGAAGCACACAAATCATAAATGTGCATCTCAATGAAATGTTATATATTGCCCAAGAGTGAGAATGTATACGTTGTTCAGATAAAAGCAAAGAGATTTATTTAAAGTTTGAAACAGTCTAAACTGGGTTATACTCTGTCTACAAAAATTAAACCAGATGCTCTGAGGAGTTGTCGGAAAACAGATCCATTTCTATAATAGTATAATAATTATCTGATTAACAGTCTGAAAATAAGGAAAGTTAGAGGTGGGCTAAGGAAAAGTGGAGGTTTTGTATTGCTTGGTTTATAGTGCATACGATATGAGCTTTTTAGATTGATTACATAATTGTAGAAGTATATGACTAAAGGTTCTTTAGGGGGTGGTCACAGGATAATGGTAATATATTTCCTTATTGAAAACATTCTATTAAAATAGCTTCTTATGTAGAATATTTACTGAGGATGTCAGGTAAGCCTTTTGTCAACACTGCAATGCTTTGTTAGTGTTCTTCCTTAGTGTAACCTCAGAGATAGGCATTTCCTGAGTTATATCCTTAATTCTGTACAAAGGTTATTGGTTGTTCGAGAAGTAAGCAGAAGTTAATATGAAGTTTAGATTGACACCTAGGCCCAACATTTTACTAGGTCCAAGGGCCTTAGTTTGGTACTTTTGAGCATTTCTCTCCTTTTGAGAAAGGATATCCATGGACATTCTTTGGTCATCCTGATAAAGAACACGTCCCTCTGCAAAGACTTTTTACTGAATCCTCCTTTATGTGGCCACTGATTTAGTAAGTTTTTGAGACATGCCCCCCCTCCCCATGCCACTGTATATGTTATGAAACACTGCTTCATTTCATTGCCCTGCCATTGATCAACATTCCATAACAAGTGATCCTGTGAGTATGAGTTTGTGCAGATCAGGGTCACATTTGGGAAAAAACATGGCCATTTGAAAGTATAGACTAAGGTGTGAGTTCAATTCTATAACAGTTATCAGTCTCGCCTGTATATGAGGGGACTTCACAAAGTTAGGATGAAAAGATAATACAATTTTCCCAC